ATTTGTTAATACAAGATAAAGAGGATGACAGTAATGTTGTTTGTTTTAAGAACAGCATCAAAAGCCCTTCGATGATCATGTGAAATCATTGTGAAATACACTAAAATATTTACATGGTGAAAACAAAACTTATTTAAAAATTGACATGACACGATAAAACCTAACTTAAAGCTTAGACCACTACTAATTGACAGTCGGATTTCGAATAGTATAAAAGTGTTCGGTGATGCGCGCCAGCCCGAGCCACGGCTAGCGCCTGGCCATCTTTATCTGGCTGTTCGTTGTTTTGATTGATTTGCCGGGTTTCCCGATGATGGGATGAAGCGCGGCCGACGCCGACACGATAATTAAGGGGTCACCAGATTATCACACACAAAAAAAAAATTAAAAGAGGGAGATTTTTTTATAATACTACGTGGCCCGTTCGCCGCGCATTTTCTACAAAATGGCACACGCGGAATAAATCCACTTTTTGCGTTTGCAAGTTCAGGGCCCGGCGGAACTTCGCTAAAAAGATGCAACGGACGGCGAGTTATTATTTGTAAGAACCTGTTCCAACTACCGGCCTGCCCGGCCGGCGAGCTTCTTGGGCCGAGGTTGCCAGTCCGTTCCTCCGCTAGTGTTTCAGATCACAGCCGTACAGTTTGCGGCGTTGCCGCCGCCATCACCGGGGTCACGTGACGGTGGGCAGGTCCACGGCCAAGGCCAGGGCCCCGGCCCGCCGGAGGTCACCGTCAGCAGAAGCGCCAGCCTCAGGCGTGGATTGTGTCCAGGATCCAGGGCACGAAGTGGGTGACGCGCGTATAGACGCCCGGCCACCCCTGCATGCCGCACTTGACCGGCCCGAAGGCCACGATGCCGCTGACGTGCCACACCGTCTTGGGGAAGTCGCCGTCGTTCACGACCTCCACGCTCATGAGCGGGCCGCCGCTGTCGCCGTTGCACGAGTCCTGGCCCTTCTCGCCGCCCGCGCACAGCTGGGACTTGTCGTTGAGGTCCACCGAGGCCTGGCTGTACACGGAGGAGCAGTCCGCCCGCGACACCACGGGCACGGCCAGCTTGAGCTTCACGTCGCTCTCGGACCCTGAGCAACAGAGGACGCAACACGTTAGCGACGACCAGGGCTGCTGGGGGACTTATTTCCGCAAACCATATTCTCTACCCGCTGAGTACTACTTACGAGTTTCAGTCTTGCCCCAGCCGGCAACCCACAGCTTCTTCCCAACGTACGACTTGGTCTTCTGCTCATTCGACACAGGTACGCAGATTGGCTGGATCCACTCTGTAGAAAGTCACATGTGTTGTTAATCTCGTTGAGAATTGATCCATTTTCAATGTCATACAAACTATTGTTGAGGCCCTCGACAGTGATCTGACGGACGGAGCCGATCGTGACCGTGCTGCCGTGCACTCACCGGTAAACTCCACGTCCCTGGACAGGCGGAGCAGCGCGATGTCGTTGTAGTGGTTGGGGTCCCGCTTATTGTACTCGGGGTACGCGATGTCCCGCTCGACGGGGACGTCGACGGCGCGGGCGGCACAGATTTGGTTCTGATTTTCGCTCAGGATGTCCGTTTTGCAGTCGGGAGAGGTCTTGGTGTCGTGCTCGCCGAGACGCACGCTCACGCTGTTGGGGAGGGAGGGGGTAAGTTTTATAGCCCAGACTAACCTGTTGCATGTCATATCACCGCGCCAGAGGACGCGTGTTACTTACAGTTTGACGGAGTCGTCGGCGACACAGTGGGCCGCGGTCAGGACGTATCTCTTGCTGATAAGCACTCCGCCGCAGTAGAAGCCGAGGGAGCCTCGAGCTGCAGACACACAACATTGCACATGATCGCCCTGGACAAGGACACGAACTGGTCTGCGGACCTCGGCACGTCCGGTACTCACGGTTCCTGTACTGCAGCAGCGCCATCCAAGGGAACTCTCCGAGGTCCGTCTCGTTGCCGCCGAAGATCCTCTCGCTGGTCTGGATGCCGCAGTCACCCGTCGGCAGCAGGTGCATGTTGCGGTGGGAGACGCCGTCGGTCGGCCTCGTCGGCGGGCGCGGCGCGGGCGGCGTGGGCCGCGGCTGGGGCTGCGGCCGGGGCGGGTGCGGCCGGTTGGGCACGCGGTCCACCGTCTTGGGGCAGCACACCTGGAACACGAGAGACGAGAGGGTTGACTCGCCGCCCGTCGATGCGCATTGCGCAAGGTGTAGGCGTAGGCGGGCCACTCACCAGCGGGATGTTGGCCTGGAAGCCGCACTGGCTGTTGCGGAGAAAGGCCACGTTCTCGTTGGACACGGGCTTGTTCCTGAGCAGCGCCACCAGCGGCGGGCAGTGCGTCACGGGGATGCACGCCCCCGACTTGTCGTCCGGCGTCTGGCACGCCTCGCCCGTCCTGGCGCTGAGCTGACGGGGGTGGGCGCCGCCGCCGTGGCGGTGGGCGTCCCACGCGCGCCCGCGCTCCCCCAGCGAGGGCACGTCGGCGGCCGGGGCCGGGGGGTCGTCGGCGGGGATCGAGAAGCCGTCGTTTTCGGCTGCAACAGAGGAGGCAGACACGGTGTTGGCGCGGACGGGGACGCCACCGCCGGGTAGGCAACCGCCAGTGTCGGCGCGTCGATTGGGTTGCCTACCCAGGTGCGTCAGGCGCCATACCGAGGGTGGGACTCTGCGCCAGCGAGAGAACCGATTGTGCCCCCCCTCCCCTTCCCCCATTCCAGTTTCTTCACCCGCCCGACAGTGTGCGATGTTCTGGTCGATGTCGGAACGTGACGGTGATTGTGGAAGGCCACGGGGAGGCGGTGGAGAGGGGGGGGGGAGAAAAGCTGCTGCGGACGCTCCACTCACTCATCTCATACCGCGAGCTCTTGGTTTTCCCCGGGAACGTTTCCTTCTAATTGCTGTTTACATTCGTACGTAGCCACTACTCTCTTACATATAATTTATTTTTAGATCTGAAGCTAGATACCTCAACGGCGTGGACTTTCCTAAAATATTTGAGAAACGGTGAATTATTACATACCGGACAAACTCTGTACCAGGATGTTCGCAAAGACATAGTTCCTGATCTCGTTCTTGATCGTGAAATATGTTTTTGCGTAAAAACGTCGTTATTTTACTCCAAAGTGTCAGCACACCCACTATCCACCAGCACCGCCAGTCAGCGTTATGGCCCGCAATCCTATCCGGTCAGACGAGATCTGATCTCGCTTCGCTTCATACTCGGATGTCACCTTGAACCCACGATGAACCACGTCTTACCTCCGTCTGAAATCCGCAGATATCGCTTCCCGCGTCTTTTTGCGAAGTCGCGGAGGGGGGGGGGGCAAGGTAATACTCCATGTTGACGTCAAAACCACGCATGACGTCAGCGTGCATGCCTGTACGCATCACGTTGACAAACCTGCCTTATTCCAAGGTGAAATTACGACACACTCTTTATACTTTCTTTTTAGCTTGGATATCCCCAAGGACGACGTCCTGGTTGCACTCCACTCCCCTTTGTCTTCCAGCAGACTGATTCCGAAGAGCGCTCAAGGGGCGCTGCCCTAGGAGTGCGACAAGGACGGAGCTATATGGGAGGCATATGAGAGCGCTCTTCGGAATCAGTCGCCAGAGCCTTCCTACGGGCGCGGAGGAACGCACAGCGTAACCGCGCAGCAAACAAAGCCAAAGTATCACGTGAAATGATGAAAAACACGAAATTTCAGAGCTGGTGCTGGTCTCAGAATAATGCGACTCACAAAACGCTTTCCCACTGTTTGTTTTGTTTTCTTTATTCTGTGGTGATATGTGGAACGCGCCGGCCCTGGTGTGGACTCCCCCTCTCTCTCTCCTTGGCCCTCCCCTCGAGATAGATAGCGACGGACGGACCCAAACACATCGCGCCACCCGCAGTCATCCCCGCGGCGCAGCGCGGCACAGCCCCTCCACGGCGTCACCCTCCACCTCGCGCGTCCCACAACCCTCCAGACCTCGGCGTCCCGCTCGAGGAGAGGAGAGGTGGGTAGCGCAAAAAGTTTCTTGAGCACAACAAGGTGCTTGGGGCTCGCTGTCGACCCGGCCCGGCCCGAGACCACCGCTTACCTCCTTGGGCGACGACGCCGTGGGCGACGAGGGCCAGGGCGGCGACGGCGACGAGCAGCATCCTCCTCGTCGTGGACGTCGTCATTGCGGCGTGTGTCGTGTGGCGGTGAGCGGCGCCGTGCGATGTGCGGCCCGGGCGGTGCGAGTCGGCACTGTGAGCGGAGCCAGAGTCGCCAGCTTCAGGCCGGCCTCCGGGCCGCAGAGGCCCGGCCAGCGAGCGCGTGGCAGACTCGCCCGGCCGCCGCGGCCGCCGCGCCCCCCGCACGGGCAGCACGACCAGCACCAGGGCCACGGGGCAGGGCGGGGGCAGGGAGGGAACACGGCGGGCTGGACGCCGTCGCCGCCGCCATGTCCCCGAAAAGGGGAGCAGTTCGCGTTTGTACTGATGTTGATGTTGTGACGTCGATACGGGGTCAGGGACACCCGGCGGGAGATAAAGGGTTACTGATTGCACCGGGGAGCCCTGGTGGGCTGCTCCGGGTACTGCCCGGTGCCCCTACCGCCCCACCATCCGCACCCGCCC